CGAGTTCGAGGCCGGGCTGGTCGTATCACAGCCGACCCCTCTCACCTGCACATGGACTATTCCAACCACTCCCCTCTCACCTGCACATGGACTATTCCAACCACTCCCCTCTCACCTGCACATGGACTATTCCAACCACTCCCCTCTCACCTGCACATGGACTACTCCAACCACTCCCCTCTCACCTGCACATGGACTATTCCAACCACTCCCCTCTCACCCTGCACATGGACTATTCCAACCACTCCCCTCTCACCTGCACATGGACTATTCCAACCACTCCCCTCTCACCTGCACATGGACTACTCCAACCACTCCCCTCTCACCTGCACATGGACTATTCCAACCACTCCCCTCTCACCCTGCACATGGACTATTCCAACCACTCCCCTCTCACCTGCACATGGACTATTCCAACCACTCCCCTCTCACCTGCACATGGACTATTCCAACCACTCCCCTCAGGCAGGAGGCTGCGGTCCATCAGGACTAGAAACTCCCGCCACAAGAACAGTTTCTTCCCCTCTGCTGTTGGACTCTTGAACACTTCTTAACCTGTCCCCCCGCCCTTTATAAAGTCACTTTACTGCCCATCATACGTCACTTTACTTCACTGTACTGCTGTCACCTTACATGGTGTGCACCATGTGCACTTGTATATTGTAAAAAGTAACTGTAACTCTATTTTAAATTTAAATTTATTCTTTAGAAGTGTTTTTTATTCTTATTTTTATTATCTCTTTCTGACTGTTGCACTGAGCCAAAGCAATTTCCAAGTCTGTGACCTCCTGTTACTTACGTGGCAATAAAAATGATTCTGATTCTGATTCTGAAATTGACTTATAAATGACCATGAGAGCTGGAGGACTCCGGGTCAATACACCATCTTGAAATACAGAGCTTGATAAGGGACAAAACGGAGTTCAAACAGGAGTTGGGGACCACTGTCAAAGACGGCATATTGTCCTGTGAAGCTGCCATAGAACCGTAAATTACAATGTATGATCTCAATGCTAGATGGGAGTAAAAATGACACAGTGTACCTTTAAAACAAGATTTGCCAATGGGAAGAAAGATTCTCTTGTTTAGGTCAGTCCAAATGTATTTAAATTCAGATAAAAACTACTGGATTCAAGCATTATTACCTCATATTTTATCATTTTTTTGCAGTACATTTACATTCATATCAGGGGTCTCTATCCCAGTGTTGCCAACTTAGCGACTTTGTCGCTAGATTTAGCAACTTTTCAGACCCCTATAGCAACTTTTTTTCAAAAAAGCGACTAGCGACAAATCTAGCGACTTTTTCTGGTGTTATTGGAGACTTATCTGGTGTTTTGGAGACTCTGGCGTGAAGCACGTATTGTTCTGCAGTTACTGTCCTCAACGTGAGCCCCTCCCCCGTCCCAAAGCACTTACAGGCGGCCAGTCTCACAGTAGCCTTGCGCAGCAGTCCCAGTTACAGTCTATGGGCGGAGCAGAGAGAGAGAGAGGAGACCCTCACTACTCGGCGTCCGAGTTTTTCTGTTGTCTCTTTTTGGTCAATTTAGATTGTTAATGTTGTCAAGTTATACAAAAAAATGTTAAACATGTTATTGTTGTTGCAAATTATGTTCATGGTTTACTGTGACTTGTTTTGTCACCAATAAACGGCTTCAACCAGCCTTTAAAGTATTAAGTTATTAACGAAAACTAAACAAACCACCCCTCAAAAAAAAAAAAACTTTAAAAAACTATGAAAAAAAAAAATATATATTTTTTAAAAACCTAAGTAACTCTGCCAGAGTGTGTCTTTTGGGTCACTTTGCCGGTCCCAAGCCCGGATAAAGGAGGAGGGTTGGTTGTAGAGCTAGCAATTTCACCCTACATAACAATCTTTTGATTAAATTTGCTGTTATAACATTTAACAATACAGGACAAAACTGATGTGTGTAATGTGGATCTAGACAAAGCATTAAAATCATTAAATGTTGTTAATGTTGAAATTATTTTTGTACATTTGTAGTTCTAAACATATTTAGGGTGTTTTTTACTCACTTTTGTCTCTCCCACAACGTTATTCCTCTCTCCTACAGCGTCCGTTACAGTTATTTGCAAATTTCCAATTATGCAAATTAGGCGATGACGTCATTTAGCGACTTCTAGCGACTTTTGGGACAGCCAATAGCTACTTTCCTTACTGAGGAGTTGGCAACACTGCTCTATCCTGTTGCTCAGGAGCTCCCCAAAGGATTTAGAAAGTCGCAATATTGCGACAAGCAACATTGCTCACTTAAACAGGCTGTATGTAAAAATGTGGTGCAGAATCTTGTTAATACTTTTCACCAGGGGTTAGTGGACATGTGTGCCTGTAATATGAGCAGCATTTGTGGGTGTGGTTATATTGAAAGTTTTTGAGTAAATTTAGTTCTTAAAACAGCTGAGAGGAGCGAGAGCAGAGCAGAGGGAGAGAGTGTTTTTTTATTTTACTCACGAGGTCTTCAGTACCAGAGAAGTACTTGGTCTGGTACTGGCTCACTCAGATTCAGAGGAGGAAGACACACAGGTGTCCAGTGAAGCAGACACAGACATTATTGGTGACGGGGAGACAGCGCTCCATAGTCCACAATCAGACCCTGTACAGCGGCTGCTTGTCCTCCGTGTGGCCGCGGTAGAAGCATTCTGTGAACGCCAAGCAGGGGCCGTGGTGGAGGGGACAGGGGGATCATAACACCGGGCATGTGGGAGAAAGTAGCGGGGTTGACATTCACGGGGAACACGGGAGACGCGCGAGAAGTTGCGGGAGAGCCGCGGGAAAAAAACACATCGATAATCGCGTTCACTGCCTTTACCAACAGCGATGATGAGGATGAAGGCAGTTCTTGAGAGAAAATAATCAACAAAAGTGTATCAGAAGTGTTGAAGAGCCTATTGTTTCTTGTTGAGACGATCTGACATGTTCTGAGCCCATTCATTTCATATCTCTGTTTCTAAACAACAAATCCTGGAGCCTCATTTCCACTGAGAAAAATAGTGGGCCCACCACTTCTTTGAGAGGGAAATATTGAAACCAGTCTCCAGATTTTATGACTGTAAACTATAAAGAGTGCTGTCTTGATCACTGAAGGTCTTTGAAAATAATACAATTCCATAGGCCGCGAACTGGTGCTAAAACATTATCTATAATCTGGATCAGGGAATTTATTTCGATCCCAAATTCATTTCATACTAAAGATATTTCACATTGACTGTTTATAGTATTCCCTGATCTCAAATGACTCCCAAGCTACAGCTTTTTGAAATCTTTATACAATAATCAACATTTTCCAAAATGGCCGACACACTGATGACGTCACAATATGCAAATTAGATGACGAATCAACTTCCATCCCAAAGTTTGGTTCAAACTGAAGATATTTCTAATTTACAGTATGCCTTTATCTCTAACCATTTTAAAGTTATAGCCTTTTGAAATCTTGAAATCAAAATTGTATATTTTCTTGAAGAAACTCTGGCGCCTAAAGGGTTAATTGCCCAAGTTGTCTATAATGTCTATAACGGGCTGTGTTTTCAATTCATCTATATTCTTACCAAAATATTGTTATTAATGACCGCCCGCATGACCAACCACAGACATCAGACTCAGTAAGCAACACTACAGTAGGATTCTTCAATGAGTAAAACAACATCAAACAGAAGGAGAGTCGGTGAGTGGTCCTCAGCTCAAAGACATGGAGCAGAGGACTTGAGGCCCTTTTCACCAGTGGGGGAACCTGAGACACAGGATTTGATATGTACAGGTGTATACCACAGGTTCACCCTACAAATACAGACAATAAATCACAACAAAGGAGAGTCTCAATAACCCAGGAGTTCCCGGCCTCGCTTAGTTTTCAAATCCAATTTACAGTGGTCAGCCCAGCGACAGCCAGAGCCCAGCGGCAGCCAGAGCCCACAGCCGCTCGATGCTTATTCAGAATATGAGAGAGAGAGAGAGAGAGCTATTTTATTTGGAAAATCAATAACATAAAGACTTGCAAGTCCCAAATCCACAAGTCTGAGTATTAGACGTGTTGCTAAGTCGGCTGCTCCTGTGAATGCATCTGTTTGGTCAACCCTTACAAGGCTCATATCTGGATTCACAGTTTCCTGGATACTGGTTTGTTGAGGTATGGTGCCAGATTCTTAAGCGTAATAGTAACACAACCAAGGAGAGGAGAGTCAAATAGAATAGAAAAGGAAGAAATATCAAATATTAAAAGTTTCTATGGGAGCTCTTCTGAACATCACAACATATATGCAGTGCTTTATGTGGCACAAAGGTGTGCCAGGGGAATTTTCTCATGTAGGAGAAGTATTTACAACAGTCAACAGACTCCCTTATGGAAAATGATATATCCATTATATACATTTGTTTATGGATATGCTTGAGCTAGAAAGAGCTACTGAAATGAATGAAAGATGCAATTTTAGTGAAATAATGTAATCTTTGGAGAAATACTGGACTTGTGCCAGTTAGCAACATGCTGGGCACTCATGCTCGCTAACACGGCTGTTGTCATTGGTAGAAGTGTCACTCTCGTCCTGGTTGCTTTTACTTCTCTGACGCCAGGAGAGCATAGTAGGCTAACTGTTCATTGGATTTTAACCGAGGATCTATGATTGCACGTATCACACATCTCCGGAATCCCCTTGTTTGTGTGGACAGGCATCATGTTGAGCTGTTTACATGCACTGTTCTCTTGTAAAACTTCTGGGGAATGTAGTCTCTGCTCTCAGAGAGACAAAGTAGGAAGTGTGCAGTGTGAAAGGTTCTTTGAAAAAGGGAGGAGCAGCCAAAGAATTAAAATGGATGTGCAAATGAACATACCAAAGCACGTTTTTGGCGCACGGAGAAGTGGCAGTACGCTCAAGAGCTATTTTTGGAAGTACTGGTACTGCGTACCGGCGCATACTGGCCCACTTAAAGAACTACATGCGTGTATATGTACAGTATATGTCAACAAAGTCCAGCCTTTCACCTCTGTGCTTCACTGTGGTCCCGTTGGTGATGGGGGACGCCGGCTCCTGGCTTCCTGAGTCCTGGGTGACAGCCGCCGCTTTGGTCTTTGTCTTGGGGGAGTCCAGGGCCTTGAGCTTCTTGGCGTGTTTGGTCCCCTTGTAGTGGGCCAAGGCCTGGCTCTGGAACACAGACAGAGAGACAGAGACAGGGAGAGAAGGGGGATAAAGGGGGAGACGTCAGCATTAGGAGCCCATGATCACAGCACACCACTGCACAGGTTTGAGCCATGTGGAAGCACACAACATCACACATGAGTTTTGGGTTCCTGTATTTTATGATCTGCCTCCCCCCTGCCTCTCTGTTTTTGAGGGCTTTAAACACTGGTCACTCGTCACCCCGTCCTTAAAACACTGGTTCAGACCCAAATTATTCCATGTCACTTTCCTATATATTTTTTCCAGCAGTTTTGTGTCCTGTATTGAGGTGTGAACATCCTGCCTGCCACCCTACTTCCTGTCTCAACTACTCGCTAGTTTATGTGAATGAAATCACTTTTTGATGGTGAATCCAACCACTGTGTCTGCTTTGGCCCTCAACACACAACTGTAAAACAACCGTAACACAACACACACAATAGCACACAACAGTCCAGATGTGGACTTCTGACTGCTTCGACAGAGCCCTTTGATTTCACTTCTTGTGCAGTGCTCTGCTTTTCCTCCACAAAGGATCTTTTTATGGTACATATAAATCATGGCACAAACAATACCCAGAATCAACGTACAGTGTTTCTGTCCACGTGTCTCTGTAGATCTCTTCTTTGTGGCCAAAAAACAGTTGCGTTGTTGTTTATGTACAGTACAGACAGTACAAAAGTTTGGACACACTTTCTCATTTAATGAGTTTTCTTTTCTTTTCATGATTATTGACTGTAGATTCACACCTAGGCTGTGTAAGGGCTTTTTGACCAATAAGGAGAGTGGTGGTGCTTGGCCAGATGCATGGCCTCCACAGACACCGGACCTGAACCCAATCCAGATGGTTTTGGGGCTGGACCACAGAGTTAAGGCGAAAGGGCAAGTGCAACAAGTGCTAAGCATGTCTGGGAACTCCTTCAAGACTGTTGGAAGACAAATTCAGGTCAGGTACATAATTCCACATGAGTAAATTCATAGTTTTGATGCCTTCAGTGTGATTCTACAATTTTCATAATCATGAAAATAAAAAAACACTTTGAATGAGAAGGTGTGTCCAAACCATTGGTCTGTACTGTATGTTTATGTAAAGCAAGAGGCATGTAACGGCTCGATCCATCACAGAAGGATAGGGGTCATTGGGGGGGGTCACAGATCACCAGCCCCACGTGGTGGGTTCACCCAGAACCTTCATGCCAATGCTCTACAAACTGAGCCACTGTTGCCCCAATTCTATTATTTTATCTTGATTTATTTCCGTGTATATTTGTGCTCGTGTTGTGAGTTCTACTTCCTGTCCGTCCTGTTGCTGTGTTCCTGTCCGTCCTGTGTGTGTTTAGACCCTGTGCTCCTGTCTTCTTGCTGTCGGTCCATTGCTGTGATTTATCTTGTCCCTGGTGCGTGTCAATTGCTGGGGTACCTAACTTTTTCTCAAAATCCTGGTCTTCCCTCAAAGTTTAATATGAACATCTGGTGATAAAACTGTGGCTGAAGGATGATGCTGATTTTGAAGTTTGACAAAGTTCGACAAATGGCAGATTGTGATTCATTTAGATATTATCAAGAAGACACGTGTATTATTATAAGTGTGTTAATTTATGTATGGTTTGGTTAAGCTCTTTGAATTGCATTGTGTATGAACTGTGCTACACAAATACACTTGCCTTGCCTATTACAAAGTGGTTTTACGTCAAATGGCAAATAATCTGAATCTTTGTAATGCTTGAGCCTGTTTAGGGACACAGGAGCTAGGGACTGGACCTACACACCGCAGTGACCCCAATGGACCCGCAGCTGGTAAGGTTTAAGTGGGACAGTCTTTGAGAAGTCCTCTGCTGTCCCGGCAGCTGTGAACAAGACATGAGTAAGCATCTCTATTTGTGAGAGCGCCGCGGGACTGTCCACACAAGAGTAATGGGACAGAGAACACCACAGCAGGAAACCAACAGCCACAGACTTGTACATGTGGTTTGAATGTTTGGGTCCATTATCCAACTTAGACAGAGAGATGATATAGAGACCAGAGAGACTAGAGAGACCAGAAAGTTACAGTGAAAGTAAAATAACGAAAGTGAAAGTGTCCACAATTACTGCTGAAAATCCATTGCTACATTGGTAATAGGACATCTCCACTGGTTAAATCGAATTAAATTAAATTCAATATTTTCATGTATCTCCCTAAATAACACCAGCGGTCTTCTTGGAAGACTTTGCTTTACTTGTGGGTTCGCCAGCAACAGATCAGAGAGTCAAACAGTTCAAGACACCAGAGAGAATCCAGAGAGAATCCAGAGAGAATCCAGAGAGAATCCAGAGAGAATCCAGAGAGAATCCAGAGAGAATCCAGAGAGAATCCAGAGAGAATCCAGAGAGAATCCAGAGGGTGGCCAGAGACAGAGAACAGAGAGGAAGACCAGTCCAGACCAGAGGTCAGGATCTTAGCTGAGAGAGCCAAAAAAGTATCCTATTTTAAAAATGTATTTCTGTGGATGTCATATACTTTGTTTTACTGTGAATTTGTATTTTTTTAACATTAGTGTAATATTAGTCTCAGAATGTAATATTAACGGCTTATTAACCACAGACCGTGCCGTGGCGAGGTCTGTGCAAAAAGACCAAGATCGTATGTTTTTCTGTACAGACCGAGCAAGCGAGGTTAATAAATGTTTTATTATATGACTCTCTGTGTCTTTACCAATGCTTTTGAGATATTTGTGAAGTATGTTCATGTCCGACTTGGTTTTCCTTATCGTGTTTTTAGTGTGATACGCGCTGCGGACCGATTGTCATGGTAACGGTCCGAGATGGTAAAGTATCAAACCGCAAATCAGCCAATCAGAGCGTGCGTACGGTCCAAGTCATATAATAATTTGTTTTATAACACTTTTATACTGATGAAATCCAACACATAAAAGGTTGTTACTATTAGGCCTACAAACATTTGTCAAGGCCAGGCAATCATCAAAAGAGGCAGATCTGGCTCCAGAGCCATAGGTTCCTGACCCCTCTGATCTTTTTCTCTCCAGTCTATTTGAAATGTTGTGATGTCACGTAGATTGAGTCACCACTTTCGACTCATCATAATCGTGGGGTCGACGCCGCTGTGACAGAAGCAGCAGAGCGACCGTGAGCGCGGCAGAGCGGCCGTTTGGAGTTTGCTCCTGGAACACCGAGTTTCAGATTCAGACGAGTCCAGAGCCATTTATAGCCTCTCATAAATCTTGTTGCTCCACTTAAGAACTTTTATATTTATTATAGGCGGCAGGTAGCAGCTCACACAAATGATAGAGGATTAAAGGCATCAGCCGCAGCATCCTCGGTGACTGTGTGGGCTTCTGAGGATTTCTAAAGAATTTAAATGACTTGGGGACTTTGTTGTTGAAGATAGTTTTATTTACTGAACATAGATTATCGTATGTGTGTCTGCAGAGAGAGTTGATGCATGAGTCGTGGTGTGGATTTAGTTGTACCTGGTTATGTTTTGCTATATTAGTCAGTTAATTAATGTAATCAGGGATAACGCACAAAAAAAGCCTAAAATGCTAGTGTCCACCTGCAGTCCCTGGACAGGTGATAGTATAGAAAACAGAGAGACCAGAGAGAGACTAGAAAGAGAGACCAGGGAGAGGGAACAGTGAGGCCAGAGAGAGAGGCCAGAGAGAGAGACCAGAGAGAGAGACCAGAGAGAGAGACCAGAGAGAGAGACCAGAGAGAGAGACCAGAGAGAGAGACCAGAGAGAGAGACCAGAGAGAGAGACCAGAGAGAGAAACCAGAGAGAGAGACCAGAGAGAGAGGCCAGAGAGAGAGACCAGAGAGAGAGACCAGAGAGAGACCAGAGAGAGAGGCCAGAGAGAGAGGCCAGAGAGAGAGACCAGAGAGAGAGACCAGAGAGAGAGACCAGAGAGAGAGACCATAGAGAGAGGCCAGAGAGAGAGGCCAGAGAGAAAAAACCAGAGAGAGGCCAGAGAGAGAGGCCAGAGAGAGAGACCAGAGAGAGACCAGAGAGAGAGGCCAGAGAGAGAGACCAGAGAGAGAGACCAGAGAGAGCGACCAGAGAGAGAGACCAGAGAGAGAGACCAGAGAGAGAGACCAGAGAGAGAGACCAGAGAGAGAGGCCAGAGAGAGAGACCAGAGAGAAAAAACCAGAGAGAGGCCAGAGAGAGAGACCAGAGAGAGACCAGAGAGAGAGACCAGAGAGAGAGACCAGAGAGAGAGACCAGAGAGAGAGACCAGAGAGAGAGACCAGAGAGAGAGGCCAGAGAGAGAGACCAGAGAGAGAGACCAGAGAGAGAGACCAGAGAGAGAGACCAGAGAGAGAGACCAGAGAGAGAGACCAGAGCGAGAGACCAGAGAGAGAGGCCAGAGAGAGAGACCAGAGAGAGAGACCAGAGAGAGAGACCAGAGAGAGAGACCAGAGAGAGAGACCAGAGAGAGAGGCCAGAGAGAGAGACCAGAGAGAGAGACCAGAGAGAGACCAGAGAGAGAGGCCAGAGAGAGAGGCCAGAGAGAGAGACCAGAGAGAGAGACCAGAGAGAGAGACCAGAGAGAGAGACCAGAGAGAGAGGCCAGAGAGAGAGGCCAGAGAGAAAAAACCAGAGAGAGGCCAGAGAGAGAGGCCAGAGAGAGAGACCAGAGAGAGAGACCAGAGAGAGAGACCAGAGAGAGAGGCCAGAGAGAGAGGCCAGAGAGAGAGGCCAGAGAGAGAGACCAGAGAGAGAGACCAGAGAGAGAGACCAGAGAGAGAGACCAGAGAGAGAGGCCAGAGAGAGAGACCCAGAGAGAAAAAACCAGAGAGAGAGGCCAGAGAGAGAGGCCAGAGAGAGAGACCAGAGAGAGAGACCAGAGAGAGAGACCAGAGAGAGAGACCAGAGAGAGAGAGGCCAGAGAGAGAGACCAGAGAGAAAAAACCAGAGAGAGAGACCAGAGAGAGAGACCAGAGAGAGAGACCAGAGAGAGAGACCAGAGAGAGAGGCCAGAGAGAGAG